GTGAATGTGCTCTATGCTTTATTGTGAGTGCATTTTTGGGTCTCCCATTTATATTCTGGTCCCCTCCCCTTCTTGCATAGGATTTCATCATCATCTTTTGATTGTGGCTCAGCGAGACACTTTTTCAGGACCTATTGTGAATTGGATCTGTCCTTTCTGTATTGGTCTTCTTCCTCTTCCTGGCTGCACAGTGAAGTTACAACTTTATCCTGGCTGGAAAACATTTTGTTTACTTCAGGCATTTGCCATTTTTTGTCATCTGGAAGAACTTGACAGAGGAGGCTGCCCTGATTTTTTTTTTGGTCTTTCTCAGGAGTCTTTCCTTATTGGCTGCAATTGTGCCTTATTTACCCCTGCCCTACATCGCAAGGCTTGGCAGCTCCCATCAGGTGCACCAGATGTCTTTGTGCATTCAGGTGGTGGACCACAGAGTTTGCACCTACTTGACAAGTTATCCATTCTTGTGCAGGGTAGGGGGTGTTGTCTTAGAGCAATTCCAGTTGGCTTTTGATCACTTTTATGGTTTCCTTGCTCTGTGCTTTGTCTGCTGTTGTAACAATGGTTGCCATTCCCAGGTTATCATTCCTATGTTTTGTGATCCCTGATTTATTTATGGCATTTTGTGCCTGCCAGTTTGCCATTTTGGTTTCTCTCAAGGCATAGGGAAGCACTCTTGTTTGCTACCCAGTAAATTCCTCACCTCACCTCGAAGAGCATTCTTTAGTCGTTGCCAGGGCCGTGTGATGTGCGCACTCCCATTTTGCCTGGGATGGATTCTGTGTCTGAATTTGCCTGAGGGCCACTAATACTTGTAGCCTCGAAGACAGGAAGCCGGTGGATTGTCAAATGTCCCCCATTTGCCCGGATGATCCAGTTAAATTTTAAAATTAAACAGTTTTGGCATTTACCGCTTTAGATTGTGGCTTGAGCTTGAAACTGTTGTTCCTTGTTTGTGTTACACCTGACCTTTTGAAGATATTATCCAGATCAACATCTTCCAAATTGTTCAGTATTTCAAGTTTCAATGAGATCTGCCCTATCATGCCTGGTCTGCAATGTTGTTAACCCTGTGGCCCTCAACCGTTCCTGATACGTGAGTTGACTTTGCTCTGGTATGATATAGGTGCCCAGTGTTGCACCTTCTCCAGAGCAGCTATGTCTTTCTGAAAGTGAGGTCTCCATGCCTGGATGTAATAATCCGAGTGAGGGTGCAACAGAGACTTCTACACTTATCTTCCTATTGTTAACCGAGGCTCAATTTCAATCTCCTACAATGCCTGGGCTGATCCCAATTTTATATAAATACAATACAGTATAAGTACATGTATTTATATATTGTGTACAGCACACATACTTTTCCATTCCTGCAATCCAGCAAAGTTACTTTTTAAGATAATATATACTGCAAACCTTTGACAAACCCATACCAATTTGCTCTCACTTTACCATCTAGATTCTAGTGCTCATACTGTATTCCATTAAACAAATGTGAATATGTACTTTTAATTACTTTCCATCTAGTTACTCCATAGTCGAAGACAATATTTTTATCAGTTTTTAAATAAGTTCACACAGCCTCAAAACCCTTAATGGAATAAATACACACACTATATATAGACAGTCATTATATACTTGTACATATAATTTTACTTCTGTATATCTTGTCAGAAGTTGTGGTGCATGATTAATGCATGTCATGTACAGTATTTTATATTATGCCAGACTTAAAAAACGGCATTTGTTGACTAAACATTTAACGTGCAAAGAACAGTTATGACAGTGTCAGCAATAAAGTTAAGATATTTGCATTTTTTATAAATGTATACAGTATATATTTTGAATGATTAACACTTGTAAAGTATTTTTCTTTGTTACATTAATTTATAACTATCTCAAATGAATAACAATTAAGACTTATTGATGGCTATTAGGAAGAAAATTTTAAGAAAGTTAGCATATATATATATGAGTACAGTACAATCAAACAAATTTGTTTATACTCGGCAACTAGAAATGTTTTAATTGTACACTACTGTAGCAATTGTTAAGTATATTTTCAAAACATCAGATTTAATAATGTTATGGATGGTAGTTGCATTAACACGGAAAACGTTAACATAGAAACCTGGACAGCGTTAAGATTCAGTTTCCACAGATGGCATTCATTCAGCTCATAAGGTATTTTCAAAATCCACTGTTTACACCAATTCCTGTCCCTGTCAAGGCCACTAGAGATATGGTGACCCTCGGTTGTATGTTTGCACTGTCTACTCACTAGTCGGGATCATATGGGGGCCCACCTCTCTACAAGTTAGCTGAACATATCCAGATGTTGGGCGAATGTATGTAAGGGGTGTGGGTGTCAGGAATGGTTATGGATGTCAGCAGTTTGTGGGAAGATGACAGTGATGCTGAGTGTGGTGCCTTTTACACATCCAACGTGATCCAGTCACAGATAATTATCAGAAATGGATCATGTTCACCTTATAGGTGAAGAGGGTTGGCATCAGGTGGCAGAGAAATCGTATCTAGGACTAACAGGCTGGTTTGTTGGCCTATAGGAGACATCCTGTCACTCCCCCTACCTTCACCCACAGCCCTCCTCACTATCTCCTTTCCCCATACCTGGCCTTTTCCCCTATTCCCCCCCATCCTTACTGTCAGGTCTAGACAGGATTTATGCAGCAAGAGTATGGTTCTCGGCTACCTTTCCACCAGCTGATGGCACAGGAAGCAGAGAAACTGCCTGACACCAGACTCCTACTAACATAACCGACTGCCTTTGAATAGTTGCAGCTAACTGTGAATGCCTGACATTTCCACTCATATATGGTCACTAATGGCATTACCACTTATACGTATGGTGTATTCCTGATGGCATTTGGTTGCTGGTGGCATCTCCACTTGTATATACTGTACTGTACTTTCAGTAGTCAGATGACAACATTTTGAGATGCTTGCTGAGCATTAAAGCAGCAGCAAATCTGTGAAAGCTGCAACTTGAAAATATTTATAAAATAAAACTACCTATTTGTGTGTTTTACAACATAATTTTTAAAAATCTTACCAGTTGTAATGATTGCCGAGGCAATTGTAATTCACTTATTGTTGTTTCTTGGAGCAAGATGGTGGAACTTTATATACAAGGTAGCCACACCTGCAGTTTTTGTGTGATCTTTCAAAAGGCTTTTCACCTGATTGCATTGCAAATATTTGGAAAACATTTCATATAAGGCCACCACCTCAAGAAAGGGAAAGTTTCCAGAGGGAACAAGATATATATCTTAAAAGTAGAATAGGTAAACAAAACATTTCTAGCATCAATCGGGCAAAATTAAGATTGAAGCAAGATCAATTTAGTTACCTATTACATACCCAGTTACCCACCCATATACACCAAAACAAAAATAGGGAAAAAAATCATGTTTGAAAACTATTAAATAATTTTCCCATTTATGAATAACAGCAGTATGAATTTTATCAACCACTTAAACAAGTTTTAAGACTTAAAATTTGCTCAGGGTCAATCAAATAACTAATAACAAGCAAGTTTTTTTTTTGGGGGGGGGGGGGAGGCAGAGGGTGGGCAACCTAACCGACACATTGATTTATTTTTATTTTTTTATTTTTTTTTTATTTTTTTTTTTTAATGCAGCAACCAAGAAAACATACAACATTGCAATTTGGTGTACCTCTCACCTAATTCAAAAGTGACTTAAAGATATACTACCATATCATTGAAGAAAGCAAGAACAGACTAACATTGTACCACAATGTAACTACGGTATTGTATTTCTGAATGGCAGTACTATACACTCAAAACCACTTAATCAAATAATGTACTGTACAGTGGAACCTAGGTTTACGAATGCCTCTCTTTCCTAATTTTTTGGTTTACGTGGGAAATTTCTTTGAAAAATTTGACTCGGTTTACGAACTTTACCTCGCTTGGAGAGTGTTTCTTGATACACATATGGGTCGACCGAGCTTGTGGTTCCAGGTGGCACAGGCAAGCCGCACTTCAGTTTACCAGTGTCTCCCACCTAGTGATGATCACACTTGAATTCTTTGTAAAGAATTTCATTGTTTTTGTGCTTTTTTTGGTTTCTGAACATAAAAGTAATTATTATATATCATACCATGGTTCCCAAGAATGTCAGTGGTAAAGTTCAACCTAAGAAAACAAATGTGAGGATGACGATAGAGGAAAAACAAAGAGATCATTAATAAGCATGAAAATAATATGAGGGTTGTTGTACTAGCTAGGCTGGATGGTGCTGATGTGGAGGAACACAGCGAAGAACTGATGAATTTCTAGCCCTGCACAAGGAGCAGCAACAAGAGACAGTTAAGGAAATTTCTTCAGGGAAGGAGGAGGCAGTAGAGGATGTCCCTTCCTCAATTAAGAAAATGTGTGCAGCATGGGAATAACTGCAAAGTTTTGCTGAAAATTGTCACTCGGATAAAGCTGTAGCAGGCCGTTGCATTAACCATTTTAATTACAATGTGATGTCTCACTACAGACAAGTGTTAAAATGTTGGGAAAAACAAGTGTCTTTAGACGATTCTTAGTAAGACAGGCAAGCAGTGAGCCACAACCAGGTCCTAGTGGTATGCCTGCAAAACGTAGGAGAGTACCCCAGAGAAGTCATCACTGCCTGCTGTTATAATGGAAGGGGGACTCTCCTTCTAAACACTAACACCTCTCCTCTTTCCCCTTTCCTCACCGTCTCCCATACGCCAACAAGAGTCATCAATTAAGGTAAGATATAACTTTTACAGACTGTAGTACAAAATATTTGTAGTATTATGTATGAAATGTATTTTGAAGTTAATATTTTTGGGAGTGTGGAATGGATTAATTCAATTTACATTATTTCTTGTGGGAAAATTCATTTCGGTTTGCAAATTTTTCGTTTACGAACTCTGGGAACGGATTAAATTCGTAAACAGAGGTACCACTCTACTCTACATAAACAAGAGTAAAAACAATACATTTGTAAACTAGCTGTAAGAGGTCATTTAATTTACATATACAGTATTTCTAAACAATATACACTAAATTGGCCAAAACATGTGCACATTTATAATACACTTAATTAAAATGTGACAAAAATACCATCATCATAACTTCCTACAGTAGGCCTGCAAAACATAATATATTAAGTAGCTTTGGTCCATGTCTGTATCAGATGTAGGAACCTTCTAAATTTCCACTTGGTGAGGCTTTAGGTATCGGGATGCACGCACACACACTTTTACACCTGCTTACTTATCCATGTCCAAGGGAAGAACATTGAAAAGTGTATTACTAACCCATGGTTTAACCAAAGATATAATGAAGTGAGAGAAGTGCATAGGTATTAGTCAATGGAAACACTTCAAGAACAAAATTACAAGAGAGCAGGGACAGATACCACAGGACCAGATATAAATACCTCAAGAAGTTAAACAGGGAGTTTTAAAACTACATTGCAGGTAAAAGACCCATCCAAAGTTGCTTCACAGCCACATCAGGAGATAAACAACAGTAAGAGTAGATGAAGAAACTGAGGATATGAGAGGATTCATTCACCAAGAATGACAGCAGTCTGTGAAGACCTCTGTACAAGATTCCAGATACTGTATTCCCAATAGACAGGGGAAATTCCTGAACTAAAAGGAATGGTGACAAATCAGGATACAGGACTTTGAAATAACCAGAGATGAAATAAGAAGACACTTGCTGGAGCTAGGCACTTGCAGTTTAATTCAAGCAAATGCAAAGTGATGGAGCTGGGAGCAGGAAGCCAGATGCAAGGTATCATTTGGGAGAGGAATCCCTCCTGAAATTGGACAGAAAAAGAATTGGTGTTGATATTACACTAAAACTGTCAACAGAAGCCCACATCAAATGAATATCATCAACTGCATATGTGAGGTTATCGCATACAAGAAATGCCTTAAGAATCTTATCAGGGAGTTATTTAGGACCTTATATACCACATACAGTATGTCAGACCAATTCTGGAATATATGTTTAACTCATTAAACCAGCCCATCGTCCTGTATAGATAGTATATACTGTATACAGTAGTAAAGATGTGGACCATCATACATATAGCGACATAATGGACAATTAGTAAAATTTGGTACTACTGTATTTGGACAAACCGGAAAAATTATTTGTATTTATGTTGCTAATAAAACCATCTTAGGGCTAAGACATGCTACCTGAAGCCTAATATAGTACATGTGTGTGCTATATTAGGCCTAGGAATATTAAAGTTTAGTTTTTTCCTATATTTTTTCTAGATTTATAAAGAGAAAAGTATGAAATTCTATCTAATTGCCCATTACATCAATATATTTACCTGAATTTAACTACCTAACTCAATATGTACATCTTTACTGTAAGTACTATCTAAACAGGACGAAGGGTTGCATAAACAAAACAATGCTGAATGAAGCTCGTGCCACCAGACTAGTTTCAGAGTCAAGAGGAGAGACTAAAGAAATTGAACCTGACGTCACTGGAAGTGAAAACGAATGAGGAACAAATGATCCTCACATACATAATTCTTAGGAAAATAAGAGACAAGGACACAGATGGCATCCAAATCACAGACAAATTAGAAAAAAAATTGTCACAATAATGAATACATGAAAGGCACCAAGTGAAGTGGTGGAGGCAGACTCCATACACATCTTCAATTGTAGATGTAACAGAGCTCAATAGGCCTAGAAACTTGTGCACCAGTCGATAAAGAGTTTTGAAGTGGGATCCAAGAACTGCAGCTCACTCCCCCCTCCAACCAAGATGCACATTCTCACTTTAATTTATTCATACATTCTCACTTATTCACTAAGTATTGTTTTAGTTTAAAAGATCAGAGATTGATTTTATTTTAAAAACACTAGGGATTGCAAAAGAAAAAACATGCCTAGTCTTTAAGAAGTCAACCTCATACAGGATGTTGCATCATTACTTTTTAATACAGTTCTGTTATAGTTGGCTGAAAAGTGCAGCCACTCCTGTGATATGTCCACAATGCAAAATGATGAATTAATGCACCATAAATTTGTTTCACATTAACATTCAACAAAGAGTTTTCTTGCAGTCATAGATAGGAAGCCTACTAGACTCACCAAGGTCTCCCTAGGCCAACAACTGACCATTCCCAGGATGCAACCCACAACAGTTCCCTAACTCCCCAGGCACCTATTTTACAGCTGGTGAACAGAGGTATCAGGTGTTAGGAACTGTGTCCATATGTCTATGACTGATCCAAGTGATCCTTTCCCATAAAATTCACCACACCCACCTGAGTGACTGTGCTCTCCAGCCTGTCCTGCTACACTGCACACCAGGCATGCATTACATTTTTTCAATGCATAACATTCATACAACATTAGCACATCACATTGAGTTTTTGGAACTTTTTTAATCTAACTGTGCATGTGGATACACTATGTGCATTCAAAACAATAGCAAAATAAGCTTTATTTTTATAATTTTCTGTAACCTGTAGTGAGAGTTCCTATGGCCTCACTGACACCTTTATTCTTTTGGGCAAGCAACTGTGAGTCAAGAAAACAGCCTCTTCTTTGACTTTTTTCTCCAGATAGATTACCAGTTTTTACAAGCCTATGCCATTCGTCATTAATTTAATGCAAAATCCACCTTAAATTTCATAATTCCTGAACTTTTTCATAACATCTGAAGAATCACGTTCCCATCCTTCAGTGGGTCTGGAAACTGTGACAGACTCCTTTCCCCTACTGTATAATAAGCCTTGTTCAGAGCTCCTCCTAGCTCCTGGCTTAGGTGGAGCTACTTGAGAGGTGCCAGGCTCCAACATTCTCTCCTTTGTGTTAGGAGTGGCCCAATGAAGAGTCTGTTGAAATAGCACAACTTGTCAGTCATTTTACATTAAAAAATTAAGCACTGTAGTAGTGAATGTAGTGAATTGCCTTTTTCTGGCCAGCCTCAGTAGCTCTACAATTTTATTGGCTCTGGTGGCAATTTGGATTGGGTTCGAGTCCTGGCCAGGGAGGATTAACTGGGTGCCACTCCTTAACTGTTTGCCCCTCTTCACCCAGCAGTAACTGGGTACCTGGTTGTTAACCAAGTTCAAAGATGCAACTGATGGCAATTGAACACTTCCCAAATCCTCATCCACCTCCCATTCCTTCAAAATCAAACTAAACCACAAGAATCCATTAATGAGGCTATCTGGAAAATCTACCCACACACAAAAAGGAAGTGATATTTTCCCTGTTGAGGCAATGTGCAGTCTGAATGAAGTCAGACTGTAGAACCCTGTCGGGACGAAATACTATACACTAAAGCATAATTCAAACTGCTGCAAATTCCCAGTACAGTATGTGATATTGGCCAGTTGCAAATGAGAGGATAACAACACCTTCCCTGGCTGGCATGGTTAGAGCCGAAGGCAAACTCAAAGCATTGGTGAACAAGACCAACAAAGAAAGTGGATGATTATTGTATCCAAGCATGGAGACCTCATCTTCAGGATATAGCTGCTTTGGAGAAGGTACAATACTGGGTGACAAAAATCACTCTAGAACTAAGTCAACTCTTGTACCAGAAAAGGTTGAGGCTTGTTGTTAGCCTCAGGGTTAACAACACTGCAAACCAGGCATGACAGGGCAGATCTCGTCGAAACTTTTAAAATGGTGAACAATTTGGAGGATATTGATCCAAACAATTTCTTCAAAAGCTCAGATGTAACAAACAAGAACAACAGTTTCAAGCTCAACAAGCTACAATTACAATGCAGGACTGAAAAAGAGGAGATGCTTTTTCACCCACAAGGTTATAAGCCCATGGAACCGCCTACTCACCAAAGCCGTAAATGCCAAAAATCTCTTAAATTTTAAATACTACTGTAGCTGGAAAAAATTACTAGAGACAAATGGGGGAACCTTTGACAAGCTGCTGGCTTCGTGTCCTTGTCAAGGCCACCAGTGTGTTAGTGGCCCTTCAGGTAGCTTCAGGTACACCAGAAACTATACCCCAGCAAAGTGTTTGAGAAGAGTGAACAGCCTGCCAAAGGGGACAATAAAAGCAGAGTGCAGGCAAAGCACCTATGAAAGTGGCTGAAAACATATATTCACTGAGGTGATCAAAACGTGCATGATACCATATATGACATACACCACAGAAATCTGTCCCCACATCATGAAAGAACAGAGTAAAAAGTTTTGGCAGCTAAATCAAAATGACAACTACAAGAACAAGGAGCCCAAAGTAAGGAAATCTATCTGTATTTGTACCAAAAACACCAGTGCTAAGGAAGAAACAACACATTACCCTAAGAGATAAAGCAGAGATAATCAAGCACTCTGCGAAGGGAGAAGTGCCAACAAAGATTGCATATAATGTACCAATGGTGCCTTTAGTTATTGATGCTTAGTTGGTTTGGCCATGGGTGCACCATATGCTGTGTCTAAAGACACCAGAGAAGAGAACACTGTCAGTGCATGGCCAACACTTGGGACCACTCAAGGAAGGAAACCCTGAGCATATGCAGCTCCAAGTGCATTACAAGCCAGGTCCATACAACACCAAGTCAAATAAAAACAAGCTTGTGAAGTACGATTCAAAAAAAAAAAATGCAAATGACCCATGCAGGACAAAGTCCAAGGATGGCTAGCACTCAACTGAGAAGCAGTGGAACCTGCCACTGCATGCTGGCAAACCAGGAGCCCTACAATGGACGTGTTGAACAATCTGCATCAGCAACACCTGGCTTCATAGCCCAGTGGGCACTAGTCTTTGAGGCCACCTGCCAACTAGTAGGGAAAAGTGCTAATGAGCTCACATTTATTTGAGAGATTCAACTGTTTGTTTACATTGTTGGGGGTTTCATTTAACAGTTTTAAGGCTTCCATTTTTTTTTAACTCAACAGTGGTCTGTATTGGTTCGCTGACTTTCTGGATGCTTTCTTGGTGAGGTGGCAGTGTGTCACCTACTCCCTTTGCCTCTGACGGATGGGTGATCAAGGCTCTGGTGCTGGTCCCTGGTAGGTTAAACAGAACTGCACAACTGATGTGACCTAGCAGTTGGGAACTACAGTATCTCAGTGAGATAGCTTCAGGGAGCTCCAAGAGGCTTCCTCAGAAAAAATTACCATAAAATGTAGTTTCATGACTATCAATAGCTCAATGGCAATCTGCTGAAGTTTTGAAAAGTTATTGTTCAGAAACACAAAAACTACTATAAATGTAAAACTTGATTAAGATAATAAATAGTGCTACTGTATATACAGTACAGTACTGTACACAAGACAAAGGATGAAAAACAATATCTATGTATAATCAAAGGAAACTAAAATATAAATATGAACAAGAAATCATGAAGTTTATTTACTCTAGGAAAATCACTTCAGTACAGAAATGTTTTTAATATTTATAAGATAAACCAATTAATAAAACAAAAACTTCAGACTTGTAAAACTTACAGTGGTCATATGCTGCTTCATGCCACACCATTTGTCATAACTAATAGTTATGCCACTATTCAACCACCGATCGTACTGTGCCCTTTTTTCTGGATCACTAAGAGTATCCTTGGCAACCTGAATTTTGAGGAAGATCAATACATATGTGTCACAGAGTTTAAATATATCTTTGGGGATCAAAATGCATTAACTAAAAAGTCTGTGTTAATGGTATTTTGTCACTATTATTCATGAGTTATGGTACAGCACTGACAAAATCAGAAAGGTACTGTACGTGTAAATCCCCTTAATTAATGAAATGAAGTAACAGTCCACTTGCTTACCCAAGTAATTTGACTATTGATTGGTTGCTTTTCATTTGAAAATTGAGAAGTGCAGTAATGTACAGAATCAATAGTATAAATGCAGTTAATTTTAAACAAAGTACTGTACTTAAAACTAGTGATTAAGGTACACATTAAGAATTTTCAGTGATTTAAAAGAAAACAAAACTACAGTAAATTGCAAACAAAGTTATTAAATCCAGTGGACATATTAGTTAACATGTTATGCTATTTAAATTTCGCTAATCATTATATATACAGTAACAGTATTATTTGGGAAAAGTGGCAATTTAATACTGTACTGTTCTTTGCATAATGAGGAGAATAACAATAGGATAGGGTTTTATGGCAAGGAAATTAAGTGCACCCTTTTTTTCTTTACTTTTGATTCAAGTACAGCATATGTTGAGCAATATTTTACTTCAACAGGAAAGAAATTTCATGTTTTAAATCTATTTGAATGACATGTTTGTATAGATTTAGTCAGGCATTTGGGAATGTTAAAGGTACACATTTATTATATGTTGTTCCTGGGTTTTGTCTGTGCATGATGGTATACAACTGATACTATCTTTCACACTAAATTAACACTTACCATAAATTAGCAATCAATTATAATGAATTACAGCTCTAAACACCCTCTTTCTTGAGGGCTGCAAGATATTACAAGTGTGTATCTCTTTGATAATACCAAAGCCCAAATGACTGAATAGAAGCAATATGCATATAAAGCTTACTGAATTATGGAACAGCCTCCCAAATATAATAAAATCTTTAACCTGTTTAAAAGAGAAATAAATAACTGATACACAGAAGGTAAGTTTAATAATATGACTACTGCTCTACATAACACATCAATCCATAAGACGTTTTGAGTGTTGCCACTACCAGCAGAAAGTTCATTGTGCACCCCATTCTCGTTCTGTGAGTGGTAGCATAAAAGGATTACAGAAGGCATTAAGATCTTAAATATATACTAGTGATTCTGTTAGACATTGATTACTACAATTTCTATTTACACAATAAATTTAGCAATAATGTTCTTGCTGGTAACAGAACCATTGTAACTTCCATGCATAAAATTTTAATAGTTTTACACATTGAATCCAAGTCATTTAAAAATACATAATTGTAATACTGGATACAAGATCATATAATTATTGCAGTTCATTGCAATTTATGTGAAGCAAAGTAGACTGAGTTTAGGTAACACAACTTACAGTTTTCTTTCATAAGCTTTATTTACTTTGTTTACTATAAGGAAAATGTGGATACAATGCAAGATTTGGGCGCATCCGATCCCACGATCGTCGTCGCCCCTAAATCAACACAACAACAATGCAAGATTTCCATTATCTTTTAATTTATTCCAGTAATGTGCCATTTCATGCAATGTTAATTTGGATCTATCTCTAAATAGTTAAATTTTGACACAGTCTAGGGTGTGATGCTCTTGTGACACCTTGTGTTTGTCTATACATTTCACATTCTTGTATTTCATGTGCTTTAGATCCACATACAAGCTGAACTGCCAGCGATACTAATAGCTAAGTCGTATTCAAGCTGTGATGTTTTGTGTGATACAATTCATTGTAGTATATAATTGATCTACTATACTAGTTTCTGTCTGCATTCTTTTGCTCTCTTCAAATTCATCTGAGAGTTCTCATGACACTTAAGACTTCATTTGATAGTTCAAGATTATATTCATTTTCTCCATTTTCTGCAAGCTTTGCTAAAGTGATCCACCCCAATTTGACTTTATCAAATATGAATGTGTAGCTACGGCTTCAGAAACATGTCAACTTGCAGTTTGATTTCAGGCCGTTTAGAGCACATACATATAATGAGACTAAGGAGTTGGGGATAATTAAATGCTCAATTTTTTGCAACAATCTTGAATGCTACAAGAGCAGCTAACAGTTCAACTTGTAAGGTAGATGCCTAATTACTGACTCTTACATTCCTCTCAATTGTGTTGCCATTCAGCTGACGTAGAATGACAGATCTTTCCACCATCTGAGTAACTGAATTGAGAAAACCATCATTGTATATAGTCTGTATGATGTTGCTTTTAGTTATCATAAAGCAGTAATACTAAATCGTGTCTACTGCAATAATCATGTAATTTTTACCAATCTCTTTCAATCCATACTAATATACTTACTGTGCATGCAATACTACTCAAATTTTATGATGCACTGTATATATATATTATTTGCTTAAATCTTTTAAATTAAATTAACAATACAGTATCTTGCAAATATCACATTTATAAGATACTATAAAATACAGGGAATGTATATCCAAATTGACATTTTACCAAAATGCAACAATCGTACATATTGGTGCTATTAAGATTTGCTTGAACTGCTCTGTGTAATTAGAGGCTTTGTTAAATAAATGCATTCTGTGTGCCCGTACTGTTAATGTGATTACGATAACATTTTCCAATACAGTACAGTATATATTTTTTTAATATTGTTTGTGTTGTTATGCGCAGACACAAAAAATTTGAAGTATTGAAACAACTGTGATGAGACTAACTAGATTGAAGTGTCTAGTTGCATAGTGGGTTCAAAGCTAAATTTCTGGGATTTTTTATTGCTCAAGAGATTTATACTTAGCCACTTGGGGTGGATGGTAAAGCGACGGTCTCACGTCATGCAGGTCGGTGTTCAATCCCTGATTGTCCAAGTGGTTAGGCACCATTCCTTTCCCCATGTCCCATGCAAAATCCTTATCCTGATCCCTTTCAAGTGCTATATATAGTTGTGATGGCTTGGCACTTTCTCCTGATAGTTCCCCCTCAAGATATTTATCTGAATATAGCCGAGGGCCATTATCTCTCTATCAGGACAGGAACAGGAAGCCAGCAGCTTGTCAAAAATCCCTCATAGATTTAGATGATTTTTTTCCTGAATTTACTTGAGGATCATTATCTCTTTACTGGTCTAGACGAGGACAGGAAGTCGATGGCTTGTCAACAGTCTCCCCATTTGTCCTGATGATTTTATCTAGCTGGATTTTGAACTGCAGCAATCTCTTTGCATTTGTAGCTTCAACAGGTAGGAAATTCTATGGGTTTGTAACCCTATGGGTGAAAAAGCATCTTCTATTCTCTCTCCTATATTGTGGCTTGTTGAACTTTTTATCATCGCTCCTGGTTTGTGTTACATATGATCTTTTAAAGAAGTGGCCTGGATCAATATCCTCCAAATTGTTTAGAACTTTAAAATTTCAATGAGATTAGCCCTGTCCTGTCTACCTGCCCTGGTTTGCAATGTTAGCCCTGAGGCTGTCAATTGTTCCTGGTATTAGAGTCAACTTAGCTCTGGGATGACTTTTGTCATCTAGTGTTGAACTTTCAACAAAGCAGATGTCTTTCTGAAGATGAAGTCTCCATGCTTGGATACAATAGTCCAAGGGTGGGAGCACTAAAGACTTATAAAATTGAATAACTACCTTCTTTTCCTTGAAGTTAAAGGATCGTTTAACAATTTCTAGGGTTTGATTTATTTTTTTTACTGCAACTTCCACTAGTTGTGCAACTTTCAGTGAATGTTGGATTCTGAATACTATGGATTTTAAACTTCAGAAATGTCTTCAACAGGTAGGCAGTATCATGGGTTTAATAATATATTGTCTTGTCTGGAACAGGAAGCCTGTGTATGTACACAAGTCAAACTTATATGTAGGTCAAACTATTGACCCTCTCACAATGCAACCCCAATTGGGCCCAATTGGGAGCATTTTTGGTGGGTCCCCTCAGGTTGACAGCCAAAGTTCGTTTTAGCAAAATGATTTATTCAAAATATTAATTAACATTTTTCTTTAGAAAAGCAATAAAAATGGAAGTGAATTCAGGTGACAAACATTAGCTGATAAAGGTTTATGACACCTTTACAGGTTTGATGAAAGGAGTTTTACTTGAAAAGAATAGAAAATTCCTTGATACAGGGCCCAATTGGCTTAAAGACAGCCCTGCTCCTGGGTACCTATTTATTGCTATGCAAACAAAGACACTAAGTGAAAGGAATCATACTCAATAAATTTGTCTTGCCAGGAACTGAACCCAGGATTCCTGAGTGCAAGTTGAGAATGAAACCAACTATACAACAACACCTTATAGGTGAAAATAATTTCTTTATAATTTCTCTACTTCCTTTGATATTGATACTTCCTTATACCGAGTTGGCTCACAACTAAGGGTCTCATGTTCCATCCCCATTGCAGGACAGCAGCATTTGTGCAGCATTTCCTTTCAATTGAAGCCTCTATTCAACTATCAGTAATTAGGCACCCAGGAATTAGGAAATGGTTGTGGGTTGCATCATAGGGAAAGTCAGTAGTTGGGCCTAAAGAAACCTCATGAATGTAGCTTCCTATTCTCAACTATGAGAATAGTTGAGATCAACTCAACTGTTGATCTCAATTAATATTAAGTTTTAATCCTAGTTTTTTTCCCCACACCTTGCCCAAAATGCTGTGCATATTAGTGGCTTCAGGCATTATATGTACAAGCTCTATCTATTAATCCAACATTATGTTTGTAACTCATTTTCAATGTATATACCTTTACCTGAGTAAACATCTTAGCTTATCTTACTAGGCAAATATACTAATTTACTCTTTTCTTTTTGAAGAGCATAGATTAAGTTATGTAAAGAAAGTAAATCATATTCAATTTTCAAGTCAACTTGAATACTAACAAAGCAATAAATTAGCTGTAAAATACTTCATATCTTACCTGCAACATCTGAAACTGTCCTTCAGCCTCAGGGTTGTCAGGGTTCTTGTCTGGGTGCAGCTGCAGGGCACGCACCTTGTACTCTGCCTGAATTTGTTCAACCTGTATTTACAAACAAAATTAATGCAATCTTCACAACATTTTGATTCCATGATTACTATCCTACAACTCACGAAATGAACCAGTCTACCTGCCTGCAGCTCTCAGGCTGATAATATTTCTAGTTCCTCACCTTCCCTACCGAGGCTTGTAAGTACAGTTGTAACAACACTAGTATATTTTGGTAGCAGTCTTTCTTGTAAACATATGTTGTTGAATATGACCGAAAAGATAAGATTAATAATTCTAACACGAATCTTCTCAATATTTCTTATGTTTTTCTTCACTGTCGGTGGTAATAAAAATAACAATTCTCCGAAATTCATTTTTTAATTGTCTGACGCCTGAACGCGTTTCATAATTCGTATTACATTTTCAAAGACTTAATTTCCACACAAATTCTTCGTACTTATACTCTATTGGATGAGGTGATATGGTACAAAAGTTTTGGGTGAGGTGACAAACACAAGACAGAACACGAAACAATGGGTATAAATTGGATAAGTGAACATATGAATGGAAGTAACTGCAGAAGGTCTATTGGCCCATACTTCCTCTTGCTGCTTCCATATTGGTTCGGGGTCTTGAAGTAAGTAGAATATAGTTGTGCATTAATTGGCTGTTGATTGCTGGAGTTGACTTTTTGATGTGTCAAGCCAAACTTTTTGACTTTTTGATGTTGACATCAAAAAGTCAACACCAGCAATCAACAGCCAATCAACACCAGCAATCAATCAACAGACTTGTACATATTTCAGTGCAAGGATCAAGGCAAATAGTGCAGTCTGAAGGGTAGAGGCCCAGTTGTTTATACGGACTCCCCACTCAAAGTACAAGCCATCGCCCATTGTCAGAACAACTGCACTTCCAGTTGCACCCGTGGGGCGGTGTAGGGAACCATCAGTGTATATGATTTGAGAGAGAGAATGCTCTGTGGACAGAGCATCAAGAAGTGGTAACATCAAATACACAAATGTGGGTTTTTATCCTAAGAGGGTTGCTGTGAGCAGGTACTGTGGTTCCATAAGTGCAGCTCCTAACCACACTAGGAACTGGCAGTAACGCTGCCGGTTCCCTGATGGAATTTCATGGACTCGCCCAATAATGAGAGTAAAGTATGTTTCATTACATACACAAGTTGTTGAGATTACAATTCAGTTCAATGAAACATTCTCCTTGTACGGAAATAAAAACAAATACCATGAAATGGTTGTCATTCAATGGCACTGATAAATAACGATTGAAGCCACCTATAATTTTATGATTATACATAAGCATTGTTTGTTTGATGTCATTACGATGAGGCTTTGTGAAGATCTTGCAAAGAAACTTAAAACACTATATATAAACTAAATCAATAGTTAATAATTAATTTTGCCAGGGACAGGCAGACTGTGAATATATAAATTGGACAAGTTTAGATTTAGGAAAGACCTGGGTAAATACTGGTTCGGTAACAGGGTCGTTGATTTGTGGAACCAATATCTGCGTAACGTGAAGGTGGGGTCCCTTAATTGTTTCAAGTGTGGATTGGACATGTATATGATTGAGATTGGGTGGTTATAAATAGTAACTGCCTCGTATGGGACAATAGGCCTTCTGCAGTTACCTTTATTCTTATGTTCTTATATACGTTAGGGTTATATCGAGGTCCCCCCCCCCCCAAGGTCGAATTACTGACCTTTCCCACTTGGGCTGGAGTGTGTCTATGTATGTATTAACACGATGTACTGAACGGGGTGAGAATAGCTTGAACTACCTCATCTCTTTCTGTGTATTTTACCTCAATAAACTTATTTCAATTTCAATTTCAACCTGGGCTGTTCGGTAGAGCGTTCATGCAGGTCAGCATTTAATCCCCAACCATCTAAGTGGTTGGTCACCATTCCTTTCCCCCGTCCCATCCTAAATCCTTATCCTGGCCCCGCTTCCAAGTGTTATATAGTCGTAATGGCTTGGCCTCCTGATAATTCCCTCCCTCCCTCCCGGGATGCAAGTTCACAACAGTTGCCTAACTCCTGGATACCTATTTACTGCAAAGTGAGCGGAGGTATTAGGGGAGCGGAGATCTGCCTAACTGCTTCTGTTAGGAAGTAGTTAGGCAGTAATTCGAACCCGGGATTCTTGATTATGAATAGAGAACAAACCCAACTGTACTACCGTGACTAGTTGGATAAATACACAGGTGGTAGTGGTTGAGCATAAATGGCGGCTGCCTCGCATGGGTCAATAAGCTTTATGCAAATTTATTTATTCTTATTAAAGTGTGTAAGTTATCTTGATATGATTTCGGAGCTTAGCGTCCCCATTAGACAGGAAGCAGCCTGTAGCAGCTGTCTAACCCCCAGGTACCTATTTACTGCTAGGTGAACAGGAGCATTTAGGATGAAATAAACTTTGCCCATTTGTTTTTGCCCCCCGAAATCGAACCCGGAAAATTAGGACTACGAGTCCCTAGCGCTGTCCTCTCAGCTGTCAGGGATCCTGTGTGTGGGTGTACCTAAGTGTAATTACAAGATGAGAGCTGCGCTCGTGGTGTCCCGTCTAACACACCATCACCTAGTTGTGCCTGAGGGGGTTAAGCTTGGACTCTTTGGTCCCGCCACTCAACTGTCACTCAACTGGTATACAGATTCGTGTACGTTACAGGACCTCCTGTTCCTGTATGTTTGTGTGTGAGCGAGCGCGTGTGTGTATATGAAGGAATCAATACTTTTAGTGAAGCATTTTTTTTTATATATTTTCCCAATCCCTGTATTATTATCTTGGATGAATTCTCCTGGCTGATTATTGGGTCCTGTCACGGCCCTTGCCGCCACCAACATAAGAGAGAGAGAGAGAGAGAGAGAGAGAGAGAGAGAGAGAGAGAGAGAGAGAGAGAGAGAGAGAGAGAGAGAGAGAGAGAGAGAGAGAGAGAGAAGTGAGTGAGTGATATATATATATATATATATATATATATATATATATATATATATATATGTCGTACCTAGTAGCCAGAACGCACTTCTCAGCCTACTATGTAAGGCCCGATTTGCCTAATAAGCCAAGTTTTCTTGAATTAATATATTTTCTCTAATTTTTTCTTATGAAATGATAAAGCTACCCATTTCATTATGTATGAGGTCAATTTGTTTTTATTGGAGTTAAAATTAACGTAGATATATGACCGAACCTAACCAACCCTACCTAACCTAACCTAACCGATCTTTATAGGTTAGGTTAGGTTAGGTAGCCGAAAACGTCAGGTTAGGTTAGGTTAGGTAGGTTAGGTAGTCGAAAACTTGGCTTATTAGGCAAATCGGGCCATGTATAGTAGGCTGAGAAGTTCGTTCTGGCTACTAGGTACGACATATATATATATATATATATATATATATATATATATATATATATATATATATATATATATATATATATATATATATATATATATATATATATATATATATATATATATATATATATATATATATATATATATATATATATATATATATATATATATATATATATATATATATATATATATATATATATATATATATATATATATATATATATATATATATATATATATAAATATATATATATATATATATATATAAATATATATATATATATATATATATATATATAAATATATAAAAATATATATATATATATATATATATATATATATATATATATATATATATATATATATATATATATATGACAATGTCAGACCACGGAGGAAAAATGAAACAGGAATTTCCTTAAGTACTTTCGTATATTAAATACATCTTCAGAAGGTGGACCTTCTGAAGATGTATTTAATATACGAAAGTACTTAAGGAAATTCCTGTTTCATTTTTCCTCCGTGGTCTGACATTGTCACATTCTTAATCACGTGTTTATTTTCGTGATATACACACACATATATATATATATATATATATATATATATATATATATATATATATATATATATATATATATATATATATATATATATATATGCCTGCCCCCCATCATTCATCTGACTTTTGGACAAAGTGGAGAGAGTACAAGAAGGCTCATCTCTAGTCTTGACCAAGTCTTGTGGGAACGGTCTGAACATAAAAGCCTGCAACACCGTTGTGACGTTGGTGCTCTTACTGTCCAACTCCATGGACAACCAGTAGTTGGCACCTGTAGCACTAGGCTCTCAACCTTCAACAGTCTCATGCTGGAACTGCCTTTCTCAAAAACAGAATTGGTTGTCATAACCCTTGCACTCGAGCGCGTATATGAATCCAAAGTTGACACGCTAATTGTAAGTGACTCCTTGTCATCCTTGACTGCCCTCAGCTCCCCAAGGCATAACTGTGACGTGCTTGTCTCTGAAGCTAGACACAGATATGGTGAAATAATCAATGATGGAGTCTGAGTTTGTCTCCTGTGGATTCCTTCCCGTATTGATCTCCGAATGCATGATAGAACTGATGCGTTAGCCCAGACTTTTGCTCATAAAGAGGGAATTGATTATCATCTTGGACTGCCTTTGAGCAGCCTGAGGGCTGTAATATTCCGCGAATATCAACAAAATCTCGTAGACTTGAGGCAAAATGAAATTCACACCAGTTGCTCTATATATCATCTTTCAATTATGAAGGAAGAACCGCACGTCTATGGGTCATCCAATAAGGTTAGCAGACTTCTAGACGTTACCACTGCTAGGGTTATGCTCGGCTACAAGTACCTCTGAGAGTTTGTAACATCTGCTGATGTAGACTTGACTAAATGTAAACTGTCAGCAGAACTACTCGCATACATTGCGTCATAATGGAATGTGAAAAAATCGCGGAATTCAGAGATAACACCATCAATGGAGTCCAAGAAATGTGTAAGTGCTTCATTCATAATGATGTACTGCCGAGAATCTTAGCGAAGTATCTCAAATTTGCTTACGTAGGTGCAGCCTGTATATGAGTGTAAAGCTGCCGCCAAGTTGGGTGGGTGTAGAGCAAGACAAGTAACTGTGTGACTAACCATAGATGTAAAGTGCCTTGTATAGTGACTGTTGTGAGCCTCTTTTTTTTATCACAAGTGATTCAACAAGATTATCGATGTGTATATATGTGTGTAAATGATTGTATGTATGTATATATATATATATATATATATATATATATATATATATATATATATATATATATATATATATATATATATATATATACTGCCACTGAAAACTCACACCCCAGAAGTGACTCGAACCCATACTGCCAGGAGCACTCTGCTGGCGTACAGGATCCCTTAACCGCTCGACCAACACGACCGGACAAAAGAGGATGGTAGCCGAGGCTATTTCCATCCCATCCATATTTCCATCCCGAGGCTATTCCATGCCGGCGGGTGGGATGGAAATAGCCTCGGCTACCATCCTCTTTTGTCCGGTCGTGTTGGTCGAGCGGTTAAGGGATCCTGTACGCCAGCAGAGTGCTGGTCACGGTACTGTGTACGTTTAGGGGTGATCTTAGACGGCATGGGTTCGAATCCTGGCCGGGTCAAAGAGTTCTTAGTGATCTATGGCTTGCGCGTTCATGCAGCTTTCTCACATAAAGAAAGAAACAATCAAGAACATCACTCCATCAGCGTTCATTCATCCGTAGGCTGACTTGCATCTGGAACTTGTTCACTCAACAGGTGAATTAGGGTGAAACGGGAGATCAGGTCACCTGATCACACGAAGGCTCTGGCACACAGTTAGTTTCAAACTCATCCTGTTCCTTATATGATTGTTACCTAATACTGTTAATGAATAAAGCTTTTCATATTATGAATATAATAGGCTCGTGAAATAAATGGGTCACTAAGAGTAATGAGTATGTTTCAACTGAGCTTAGTTACAAAAAAAGGGGAGGGAGAGGGAGAGGGAGAGAGAGAGAGAGAGAGAGAGAGAGAGAGAGAGAGAGAGAGAGAGAGAGAGAGAGAGAGAGAGAGAGAGAGAGAGAGAGAGAGAGAGAGAGAGAGAGAGAGAGAGAGAGTCTTTATTAAGTGTAATCGAACACCTTTTATTAATGAAATAATGTAGTGATGTAAACTGGTAAACCAGAGTCAATGTTATTGTCTTAAAAAAATTCAATATTCATTCCTGATTATGCACAATTTATTTACAATCAGAGCCATTTCAACGGCACTTTACATTAACTAATAAAAGAGGATTACGTTTGTTCACTGAAATACATTCGTACAGCTTGTCTTCGTATATTTCTAGACGTAAAGAGCGCTCTCTCTGCATCCAAAAATCAATGAAGACATCAGATGCAACAGGTTTACCAACGTGTATCTTTAAGCTGAACAATAGATGTCTCCAAAACCTTATATATATATATATATATTTCTCTATCTTCATGTTTACTCACCGAAGACATTGGGTCACATCCAAGAATGTCATAGAAATTATCCTTTTTCTTATCGCAGCTCAGAAATTCGTCCATCATGATGGTGGGTGATGGAGATGACAGGTGTTGGCGCGTGTGGGTGGACTGAGGCACTTCAACAAGTGGAGCAGACTGGCGACCTAGCATCCCAGGCTCCGTGACGTCAATCTATCTGGCCACGCCCATTGGCTGAACCCAGAATTATCTGCTCGAGTTTACGCCAATCACATCCACGCTCTCTCTTTCCACTCCCTTGTTTACGTTTCGGAAACGTTCACAATGGATTTTTGTTAACATATATTTGGTTTGTATATCATAAACTCAGGTATTTTTTTTATTTTTACATATTTGAAAAATGTACGTTTATTTGATCTAAACTGTTCATATCTATTGAATAAAAAGAATGATGTACTATTTTCATTCAATATTAACGCGAAAGAAAGATGACGTCACTGCAAGGAAAGCAAACGCTTCTAACGACTATTCTGTCTGGCAAAGTTTTGATACTCTCCTCGATCCCCCGCTAAGTTCTCTATCATAGGTACTAAAGTATATATTCCTATAAGAAAGCTCTTTTATAGATAATATTTTAATCGGTGCATACTATTTACAGCTATAATACTGCCTAGTTCCTTTTTAATAAATACATACACTAGAACGATGTTTTAAAAAACAAATAAGGCCAGCATTTCCTCTATTTTTTGTTATAAATGAAACCTCTGACAATGATATAAATTTATATTGATTCTGTAATAGGCATTATGCATTTCGTAATTTAAATATGACAGAAACATGTATGCAAAACTTTGTTTGGCTGTAGAATAACATTATATAATTATATTATAAATAAGTATCCCAGTAGTACAGTCCCGTTCGATATCCCCTCACAATCAAGAATCCCGGTCGGGACAGAAATGGTTGGGTACGCATCCTATCATCTAATGCATCTGTTCACCTAGCAGTAGTTAGGTGCCCAGGAGTTAGCTTGTTCTCGGGTTGCATCCTGGGGAGGGTACTTGTGGTCGATCTCGAACCCATTGATAATGTGACGACTTATACTTATTTTTGTAACTAGCTCATCAAGATTGTAACTTGCTTAGCTAAATGAATTGTGGGCTTCAGTCCCTGAGCCCATTATGTGCCTCTGTAACCCTTTCCACTACTGCCCACAAGATGGGTATGGGGTGCATAATAAATTAATTAAACTAATTTCAAATTCAAATTCAAATGTTTATTCAGGTAAAGTACATACATATAGGGTGTGATACAAATATTGATGAATTTATAGATAGAGCTAGTACATACAATGCCTAAAGCCACTATTACGCAAAGCGTTTCGGGCAAAAACGCTTTGCGTTTCACTAAGTAAACAGTTAGTGTTAGAAACACTAACTAAAAGTCATATAGCGGCTCACAAAATTGACGTGATGTTACGTTTTCTATTCATGGGTTCTTGGTTAGGTTAGGCTCGGGTAATTTGATACATAAGTTTAGCGACGTTGTGAACGCTCGAGAGGACGGGTTGAGGTTAAGGGTGCACCTAACTGAATCCTCCAGAAGTTCTGAGGCTTCTACTAAAGCCCAATCAGGTAAAAATATCAAGGTCTCTCAAGGAATTACTGACCCTGCCCAGGAGTACATCAGTTTTGGGGATGGCTTTTGGCTTTTGGGGATTTATACTTCAAAATACGATGTACTGCTGTTCGAGAGGACGTGTTGTTGGAATTGCTTGTAACAGAAAACGTGTTAAATATTAAAGGGATATCTTAGCTATTCCCGTGTCTTACACTTATTTGTGATTTACCTAGGATAATATCGAATTTTATAATTTGCTATTATACCTAGGAGCATGGCAACTGTTTTAATTGTGGGTTTCATCCTGGGAAATGTCAATCGTTGGTCCTAGTGGAACCTTGATGAGCATAACAGGCTTTCTCTCCCAAATAAAGTAAGACTACTAAGCTTATGATAGGTGGTAGGCCTCGTCTGTCAGTGTAGACGTTCAATCACCCAGTGTTCCCTACGAGCAGCATGTAAAGGCTATCGCCTTAACGACAAATTATGATTAGATTATATAGTCTCAAGATGTTTAAGCAAGACATTTATTCGAGACATAATTTTGAATTTGAGGTAGGTCTTTATGATTTTGAGGCACGATATTTTAATTTTGAGGCAGGTAATGTTTATTTAGAAGCAATGAATTATGATTTTAATGCAGGCCGTATTGATTTTGAAGCAGGTCGTTGTGTTTTCCTAGCAGAGTATTTAGATTTTATTATGTGGCTTTTGATTTGGAAGCAGGGCAGTTAAATTTGTTTTCAGACAGTACATTATATGTGAGGGATTAGTCAGAACATTTTGATTCAGCGACAACTTTTATTCTTATTGTGTTTGCATTATCTCGTGATATGTGGAGATCATACTTTTCATTCTCATTAAATCACATCACCTTTATTAACCAAAGAATTGGATATGTATTTTAAAATTACTTTCTAACCAGTTGAACAGGGATTAACTTTACATTAGCTGTGAGTCTGTGTTAATTGACATGAGATTTATAGTAAGGATTTTTTTGTTTCAATTATCAACCTTAGCCGAGAGCAATTAACGTTAAGAAAATTAATGTTTCTATGCAGCATGAGCATGTAAATTACATGGTTCATGCACTTCATTTAGAAAGCTAACAAATAACAATTGACATCAATAACAAATTATGATAATTAGGAAAAGGCTTTTGGATTAAGTCTACTTTATGCCTGCAATATATCTTCCAGTAAATTAAATCCAAATAAAGCTTAAAATTGTGCCTTGTAGTTATGGTATATCTTAGGTGGTGCTCGAGTGTCTATAGTTTGGACTGATTCTTGCGACCCATGACCGCCATGATGTTGCCGGAAGGCTTGTCGACCGGGAGGAAGACCTCGTTGTTCTCCATGCTTCCCACCTCCTTGAACTTGCTCAGGTCCACGCTGTAGTAGTGCTTGTTGGGCAGCGTCACCATAATATTGGATATCTGTTTAATATTATTATATTAGAATCAACGGAAGGAAAATTGGCAGCTGGTGTTGAACGTCGCGGGACTAGCCAACTGACACACACACACACACTCACATGAGTTTGGTAAAGATACGCAATAAATTATTGGAAATCATGATACTACCAGAAAAGCTGGAGGAGAGCCAACTGTGTCAGCATATAAAGAGGAAGAAAGACAAGGGGTTCTAAACTATTGGATCCTTACATGTATACTATGCAAGGTGATGGAAAGTTTTATAAGAATCTGCTTGGACACTTGGAAAGAAAGACTTTTATAACGAAACACCAGCATGGGTTAAGGGATGGCAAAGTATGTCTCATAGACTTGGTACACATCTATAATAGGGTAACAACAGTCAGCCAGATTATAAAGGTACAAAGACTGCAGATTTTTGAACTACAAAAAGCCTTTGACACAGTATCTCATAAGAGATTCCGACACAAGCTGGAGTAACAAGTAAGGGTGACCGGGTAAGCTCTACAGTCGATAACGGTGTACTTAAATAAGATAATACAGTCATGCTGTGGGAAAAATAATTAAAGTTGGGAAACATTATCAGCGAGGTTTCACAGGATTCAGTATTAGGATCAATCCTATTCCAGATATATGTAAATGATGTTGTACAGCGAATAAATATAATACAATGCTTGCTGATGTAAAATAATGAAGATAAGCATAAAGGAGGACTGCAAGAAACTACATGATGCACTGGGAAGACTAAGAAGTGGTTGGTGTTCATTAACTCCAGCTTATGCAAAATAATGAAGATGTATGCTAGAGGCAAGAGACCGGACGTAATGTATCAAATAAATGCTCAAATCCTTCTGGAATTCTGAAATATATAAAAAAAATATCTGAGACTGCTATCACACTGAAACTATCTACAGAGGCACATTAACTGGGTACCCCTCAGCTGAATATGCAAGGTTGGCCAACGTAAGGACTACATCAGAATTTTGACACAGGAATCATTCACAACTCGGTATGTCCCATATATCAAATTAATTCTGAAATATGTAGTATCAGAATCAATTTCACATCTGGGCAAATACAAAATAAAGCTGGAGAATGTCCAGAGGTATTATATAGACTAGGCTGAGAGCTGGGAAGAATGAATTATAAGAAAAGAATAAATAAACATAACCTCACATTCTTAGAATAGAAGAAACAGGAAAAACATGATCATAGTATACAAAGTACTCAGTGGAATTCACAAGATACACAAAAACACTTTTTTTTAATGTAAGTGACGTAAACAAGGGAACACGAGTGGAAACTAATTCAGCCCCACAAGCACAGCTAGGTTAGTACCTCCTACCTACTAACAAAAATATTGTTGACGAAAAGTCCTCTTAATTTGTTTAATGAGTCTATGTAGGTACATCTTAAAACTAAACACTGCTCTTGTTTCGATTATTGTAGCACCTGTTTTTATGCAACAAAATAAACATAGTTAAAATATCAGTTCTCCCAAGTTTTAAGAAATAATACCAGCCTTATATAGTGCTATCGATTGTTTACATCGCTTATACTAGCCTAACATCTGCCTCGTTCAGGGCTATCAATTGTTCGCACCGCCCCTATTAGATAGTTTAGCCGCTAGTAACGACAAGACGAAGCCTGTAAAGCCCTCGAGTACTATAGTGTTAATAATTAATGTGAGAACTGACGACCCGGAGACTGACCTCCGGTATCTCCTCGAGGGCGGCCTTCTGAATGAGGTAGACGGTGTTCTGGACGGAGGGAGAGAAGATGCCAGTGTCAGGCGGTCCTGCGAACTTGTCGTTGATCAGTTTCAGTATCATTATCCTGAGGAGAGATTTGTTCTGTGGTAAGAATACTTTTAAGAACTTTTTCATTAGTAAATTTAAGTTTAAGATTGAAATAAGTATATTGAGAGAAAAATACACTCAGAGGGATGAATTATTTGAAGCGAATTCATACATAAATACCCAAACCTCACATAAGTGCCATCAGGTAAATATGTATAGAAAGGAAAGTGGTGACGTTTCGGTCTGTTCTTGAGGATCCGCAAGTCGTGTGTACTTTTCCTTCTGTTCATGTGTGTTGGGGGGAGAGGGGGTATTAATTTTCAGTCATATTATTGTGACTGTGATTATTATTGTTAGTGTTAATTATTAATTAATTATATTATCATTATAATAATCAGTATAATAATTATTAAATAATAATAGTTGTAATTAATAATTATTGCTCTTCCTTCTGCTGGGTCATGAAGGAAGCCGGCCTCGGGTGATAGGGGGCTGTGACGATCTCTGTCAGGAACCCGTAGGTGCGGGACCGGGCCGTCCACCTCCTGGGGCTGGTGCGGCCCCCCAGGCTCTGCTTCAGGAAGCTGGGGTCGTTCTTGCCCTTGCTGGGGTCGTTCTTCTCCGGCCCCGACCACGGCAGTCTCCAGGTTTGGAGTCCCTGAGCCTTCTTTTACCAAGTTCGAAGTCATCTCCGGAGCTGGAGTCCCTAGGACAGTTGCCTTCAACATCGTCCCGACAGTTCCAGAGACGGCGCTGGAACCAATCGTATTGGCATTTGCCTTTCCCTTGAAGACTTTCAGCGCCGTGGAGAGGGAGGACCTGCTGCATGGATAACAGCTTCTCCTCAGTATCAACCTACTGTAACACGGGGTGGGGTCCTCTCTCTGACTACTTCTCTTTCCTTCTACTCCCTCTACCCGTATTCTTACTTTTTATTCTCTACCAAGGGACTCCAAAACGTTTACCAAAGCCAACTCCACGCCACGTGGTCCTAAGACGATTGACCGACTTAGGATTCTACACCCAGTATGACGTGACCTAGGCTTTGAGCAAAACCCTAGAGTCGCCTCTACGCTGCCACCACCAGACCAGCAACACCGAGCAATGATCGAGGTCTGGATCGATCACGCTAATTAATCAACCTTGGGGCTTGATCCCCACTATAACCGATGACCGTGGAAACTTAAGAGTGTGAAATTAATTACACGGGAATGATTCGATGTTAGAATCGATGTTAGAATCGGCGCCCAATCCAACTCTTCCTCGTGTGGACCACGTGACCAGGACAAGTATACACATAAAACACATGGAAATAAAAAAAATGCAATTTATTAAAAGAAAAACTAAAACAAAATCTAAATATGTTCACTCCCTGTCACTTTAACACTCCCTACTTGACCTGAATGGCAATGAAGACTATTCTATAAATAACCATAGCAACTATACCTCTATGTTTTACCAGCTAAAGATGTTGGGCTGGTCTCGGGGAGAGGTAAGATGTTTGACCTCTCCCAGCTGCTCTCGTGACCACACTGATTGTCCTCGTCTGATCTAGCCCAGACTAGAACATTGTATCCTTCCGCCTCGCTTACCAGTTACTTAGCCAGGTTTAAGTTATAACAATTAACCTCTGTTTGTACTGAATTGATCCAGACTGGTTGAATTATTTTACTGAAATTAAATTACACAAGCATCTAACGGCAGAGCTGTTCCCGATCCCCCAAAATGGTTAATTGAACTTTGAGAAATAGTAGACATGTCAACCCTGCTGACCTATGACCGCCGGTCACTCCGCCTTACAAGTTAGATCTGATTCGTGACGTCACTGATGGTGATAAACTCAATAATTAGAATCCTCTTGATGTTGTACCCAGTACTATTATACAATACAATTTTAATACAAAATGAATAAAGGCTAATTTCTCAAAATTACTGAATACTATAGGATGGTTCATTATACAAAACTATGAACAAAGTGTCGGTTATTTCCACCGCGAATTCCCCTGGGGGTCAGGTTCCCAGGTCACCATGCGGGCTCAGCTTCCCATTCTCTTTTGTCGATAAACCACTCTGGATAATTCTTACAACAGCCTAGTTTGTTACACTACCCTGGTTTTGCGCCCTGAAGAGGCCACTTCAGACCGCCAACCAGAGCGCAACTCCATAGTCTCCTGAGACTTATGGATGCCTACTATTGTGAATTATTCTCTGCTTATACATAAAATGCATATACATTATAAATATCGTCGTATACATGTTTACATCCTGGGTGTAAAATACTGAAAAAAACGTTCATTATTGATTTTCTTAGCTTTACTAAAATATGGCAGCAACGACAACATAAGCAAATATTTATTGAAAAATCTGATTATGGCTTACGATCTCTTTTAGCATCTTAGTACTGAAGGAAATATATTATATATACATTTGGGTGTGTGTGGGTACTTAATTGCAATATTTAATATTAGCATGGACATCTCTCTTTCTTTACCAGATTTTGCCAAAGTCGACGCTTTCGACGGTGTTGTACTGCCAGGAGGCGGAGATGATGGTGGAGAAGATGCGGTCCTTCATGTCCGGCAGGGACCGGAACTCATCACTGACGAAGTTAATGAAGGCGGACTGTGTCGTCTTCAGCACCCGCAGCCCCTGCAGACCCGTCGTCACTTCCGGCTTCTCTGTGGAGAGGTGGGTAGTGTGAGGGAGAGTAGTGGTCGCTGGTGGGTGTGAGGGAGAGTAGTGGCCGCTGGTGGGTGTGAGGGAGAGTAGTGGTCGCTGGTGGGTGTGAGGGAGAGTAGTGATCGCTGGTGGGTGTGAGGGAGAGTAGTGGTCGCTGGTGGGTGTGAGAGAGAGTAGTGGTCGCTGGTGGGTGTGAGGGAGAGGATGAGTGTTCGCTAAGGAGTGTACAAGGCACGGAATGGATAAGAAAGGAAGAAAGTTGTGCGGAGGAGAGGGTTGGGAAGAAGCGAGACAGACAATAAAGGTGGAAGAGAAATACTACATGAATAGCAGCTGCCAGGTTATAGGAAACGTGTTGATAAGAGCAATGTGCAGGAGGAAGGTTCTCAGTCTCGCTAAGACGTGTTGATAAGAGCAATGTGCAGGAGGAAGGTTCTCAGTCTCGCTAAGATGAACACTGAGCTCCCCGCCGTTCATTTTTCGCAAGAAAGCGTCAAGGCCAAATGACTATATAACACATGAAAGGGATATGTGGATAGAGAGATCGGATATGAGGAACTTATGAGGCGAAGGAGGAGGAGGGAGGCGGTACAGTGCCTCCACGCCCCCTATCCGGCTCACCTTCACGCCTCTGTACCACCCTACAGGTATGGTGGTACTCTGGAGAGTAGACGAAGGCGTGGTTGTGGGCACGACCATCCATCACCTGACGGCGCCACGGGTACTCCTCCACGTCAATGGTCACCCTGTTCACGTGGGCATACTTGTTGAGGAAGTGTGAGCTCAAGAGCAGAGCGAAGGCTTCCGGAGAGGTCACCTGCCGGACAATGAAAGACTCGGTCACCTTTGCTGTTTATACCTCTTAAAATGTGGCACAAATTACAGGTACCTTGTCAATAAAGCGTTAATATGACACAAAGAAGAGACACATTATGGGTAGGCTACCACACACAGCTCCGCTCCTGTGCCAGGTAAGTTACGGGCTCACCATAGCCCGTGCTACTTGGAACTTGTTCCGAGTAGCTGAATCTATAACAACAACAACATAGGCTACCAGCATGGGCCGTGTACAGCGTGTGAGGGGCCACGGCGGGCGTCACTCACCCCGTGTTTCTTGGCTAAGATGTAAACAGTGTTCTTCTGAGAGTCGGTCGCCACGATATCGGAGTTGTCGCCATGGATGTAATCCTTGTCCGTTTCGAGGGTGAGCTGGGTGTTGACTTCGTACTCCTTGATGGAGTGGACGGGGCCGTCACGACGCACGTGCAGGAGCTTCACGTTGTTCTTCCCGTAGCCTCGGTCAACCCACTCTAAGTTCTCCATATTTGCTGCAACACAAATATATCAATCAATAACTCTAATGTAGTAAAGTCCCCTATCAGCTCAAGTTTAGTATGGCTGCTGTACCCGCCTGCTGTACCCTGACCTGGCTGCTGTACCCGCCTGCTGTACCCTGATCTGGCTACTGTACCTTGACTTGGCTGCTGTACCCTGACCTGGCTGCTGTACCCCGACCCGCCTGCTGTACCCTGACTCGCCTGCTGTACACTGACCCGGCTATAGGACCCTTACTTGGCTGCTGTACCCTGACCCGACTGTTGTACCCTGACCCGGCTACAGGACCCTGACCCGGCTACAGGACCCTGACCCGGCTACTGTATCCTGACCCGGTTACAGGACCCTGACCCGGCTACAGGACCCTGACCCGGCTACTGTACCCTGACCCACCTGCTGTACCCTAACCTGGTTCCTGTACTCTGACCCGCCTCATGTACCCTTGACCCGGCTGCTGTACCTATGACAGCAATTTTTTTAATTTTTAATTATCAGGGGAAAGCGCCAAGCCATTACGACTATATAGCACTTGGAAGGGGTGAGAATAAGGATTTGGGATGGGACGGGTGAAGGAATGTTCCTCCAACCACTTGGACGATCGGGGATTGAACACCGACCTGCAGGAAGCCAGACCGTCACTCTACCGTCCAGTTAAAGGTCTGTGAGAGCAGAGTGAACCACGAGACAAGCCGCTTGACAACAACGCTGTCTCTTGTCTTTGCCCGAAACGCTATGCGTACTAGTGGCTTTAGGTATTGTATGTACTATATCTATCTTTAAATCCATCATTATGTATGTAACTCAATGGATGTACCTTTACCTGAATAAAGAATCTTACCAAAATGCAGTAAGTTCCGGGGACATGTAAGCTAGTAAGTATATACAAACCGGATGTTTATTAACATGAGACGTGCATCCTTTTGAACCTAAATTCTCAAATGTAGCAGAATTTGCAATGTAGCCAGTCAAAATACAAAAGTATTACCACAGTAGAATGTCTTACTTTTCTTTCAGCGATGAAGAACTATCAATTAGACCAGAAAAATCAACGTCTTATTTGTAAATCTGGGAAAACATACTAATACGCGCTATACTATATTATATATCCACATCTATTGTATTCCTCAACAAATAATTTACCTGGAAAATCCTGCAAATAGTTAAATTAAGTGGGTAAACACATCACAGTAATATTTTGGTTCGTAGAATTACATCTGAAATTAAAAAATAATAATAGTAAACCATCCAGATGTAGAATAACAGTTCAATAATTGATTAATTATTAAATAAAATATGAAATAGTAACAAATAAAGGTAGATACTGTGTATTAAAGCAGATAAAATATAGGTGTTGGCAACCCCCCTCCCGGGGATACGTGACCAAAACGACGCGTCCGCCCAGACTTGCAACAACAATGATGGCGCCGCACGAATTTCAGTCACAACTACCATACGAAGTTTCGTTGCCATATATCTCAAACTCAACTCGTTAAGACTACGGCTCCCGTTCAACCCTTACAACGTATCAGAGCTAAGTAATCAGGAAGTTGGCCAATGAGAGATCTATCTTTACTCTGTAAAGTAGTTTGGTTATAAAAGGAACAATGACCCACAAAGAGGTGGGTCAAAATGCAAACTGTTTAATATTTTGTAATGTAACTTCCAACACTGTACCTACAGACTTATGGCAGAATCACCAAAAATCTATGAATACAAGTTGTGATAGGTCAATAACCTAAAACCCATGAACATATTGAAAACATTCCGGCGAGGATTTTTAGATCCCCCCAAGGGCAAAATTAGAGAACTATTAATAAAATTCTCGTCAGACAAGGCCAGGAGTAGCCTCATCAACTGAGCGTTGTGTTTTTAAGCAGCACCAATATTCACGTCCACTACGGGCTTACCATCTTACCAAGCCCAGTAGCCCGTGCTACTTGGAAATTTTGTTCGGAGTAGCTGAATCTAAAACAACAAGAACAACAACCAATATTCACGAGAACTGCCGACTTATCAATATCTGTGAGAGTGTTTGTCTATCTGTTTGTCTATCCAAGGTTGGAGGCCAGACACTTCAGGCTAGCTTCACCCAACTTTATTATCTGATATGAATTACTTAGCACTGAATTGGACGTTGAATCTTATAGTGCAGCAAAAATTATCTTGTGACACTATAATACTATACTTATGAAACAAGAAAAGCTACTTCTCTACAGATGTCAGGACTAAGCACCACAGTGAACCACATTCGACCTTACGAGGTTCAGTAACCTCAACAGCCACAGAAGAATGTGAAGCATAAAAACCATAATTTTTTTATATTAACACATTTAGGTATATCTGCATTTGTACTCCTACCCTAGATTATATGAAGGGGGAGTACTATGGACAAATCCCATAAACAACATTATCATGAGACATGAAAGTCAAGCAAGGTAGGCTGATATATCAATGAGGGAGAAGGCAACCCCACAACCCTCGCCTCAGTCTAGTGGTTTTGTAAGGAACAATGTACGTCCTGTGAAAATAAACATCCACTTTACTGATGCCATTTATTCCTTGATTAGACAAGCCCGCCTTAAAGATTCACAGCGTTGCAGAAAGTGTTTACGTCAGCACAACACCCCAGATGACAAGTTAGAACTGGAAATGTGGAGAAATTCCTCAAATGAAGGCACCACACAGCCCTCTGCAATCAAAATGACACAAACAGAAGTGAGTTAATCACCACCAATTGTTTTTAAAAAAGTAACTGCAAAGACACATAATCTAAACTAGCTTACGCTACACCGATTCTGCTTATTAACATACAGTTCAAGTAAGTTTATTGGGATAATGGAATACACCTCAAAAGGATAGAGTAGCTTAGGATATTTCTAGCCTCGTAGAAATGAATGCGACCTTAGAAACTTGTCGCCTGAGGCACGTCCCAGATTTTCTCATTAAAGAAAACTCATTTTTTCATTTATTAAAGGAACACATCCCTATCACCATACACCTGATGATACCCTGACATACCAGAACCACTTGGAGACGGTGAAATATGACCAAGGTCAGTACCAGGCAAGGTTAACATGGAAGGTCAGTCCTCCACATCCACCTCACAACTACAAAATAGCCAAAGGTGGGTTGAAAAAAAACAATTAAACAAATGTAGCAAGCATCATCTAGAGATTGTAATCAAATAGTTGAAAAAAGGTACAAAACTAATTATTAATATCATCAGTGAAATAAGCTATTTTAGAATACATAAGTTTATATTTATTGCTCCCATAAACGCATCGTAAATGTTACATAAATAATTGTGAGTATACTTTGAATATAAATGCTATATGGTTATATATACCACTTACGTTTCATAATTGCTTACAAAATTGAATACAAGAGTTTAGTAAATTTAGCGTTAGAAGAGTTATCAGATACATAAACAATTAAAATCTCTAACAAAGTATAACCATTGATCTCTGTATTTGACACAGTTAACAAATGCTATCCAATCAACACCGTTAAGTTCGCCCTATCAACGGAAGACAAGATAACCAATGCATCACCTTAAGGCTTCAGAGGGTCCACTCAACAGCAGCCAGTCCTGGACAAGGTGTGTGTGTTACAGGATCGCCTTCAATCCCTCGACTAAGTGTGTATGGGCTCCAGCCTAGCTTTCGTGAAGGATCAAGGCACTACCTCCTCAACGTCATTGGTTAGTTTCAAGGTCACAGGCGGAGCCTCATGGGGCGAGCCAATGAACTCCCAGTACTGGCGCGGCCGTCTGGCGCCTTAATATACGTTGTCATGCTAACTGTTCTTGAATATATTGCATCCGTCAACAAATAAGTGCAGAACTATTCATTTTTATTAATCCCACTTGAGGGAACAAGCTGGCTATAGTAACTTCGACAATTAGTGAAAATTTAAAGCAAGAGAGTAAGAGAAAAAACGTCATCCCATTTTAGAATTAAAATTAATTAAAAAGAAAGAAATGCGGGACACAAACCTAAGTCCAATCAGCCATGAAATATTCTTGTCATCCCTCACACAGTGATTGTGAGTAACGTCATTTTGGGCTGTCACCCTCCAGTTATCTATTGTTACCGAAATTACTTTCCTCTTGCGAAATTGTGAGTTCCATGTGTTTATAATGTGCCTAAATTTTATTGTTTAATTATAATACATCAAATATATTGTATCAAAAGTCTTCTTAAGGTATACCAAGATTCTTATCAAAATCTATCTTATCTTCAAGGGTCCCGGTAATACAGTCGGATTTGTTCTCGACCCAGAATCAAGAATTCCGGGTTCGAAACCCGGGCAGAACAAAAATGGTTGGGCACATTTCCTGTCACCTAATGCACCTGTTCACTTAGCAGTAAGTAAGTACCCCAAGAGTTAATGAGCTTGTTGTGGGGTTGCATCTTGGGCGGGGTCAGTAATTCAACCTTGTGGGGAGACCGATAAGAGACTGAAGACGTGTATAATACACTCTGGCTGCCTGTCCCCAGACACAATGAATTATTATAATTATGAATTATCAAACCCAACCGCCTCACCTTTTACATTCTGAAATAAATCCAACTTAGAAAATACTATCCATTCGATATACAAGGCTTGTATAGCCTAATTGTGTATTTTCCGTTACCCTTTCTTACATAAATTTCACGTTCAAATATTCCATCAAGCAGCGAGTGAAAAAAATAGTTCTATGAGGGTCACCAGACTGAGATCGCGAGGCCTTCCTGCTTGACAGATGACACCGTAATCTTCCTACGATATTAACAATACGAAGAAAGGGGATAGAAAGAGCCTATCGAATTCTAATGTAATCAAATAACAAACTCATCAAATGAATGAGGTTCTAGAGCGAGGCTTCAGATCAGCTGATGTACGATAACGGCCCTTAGCTTGAAGTTTCATTAGGAACATCAATGACTTATTTATGAATCTTAGGCTTAGTCTAACGTATGGTTCTCCTAGCATTTGTTTGGCGGATCTTATTTATGAAACGATGTGTGAGTCCTGACGTAGGTCCTGTCTAAGACCTGCGAGCATCCGTCAGGAAGTGTGACTGGAGTTAGATGGTTAGTGATGGTGGCTACAGCTGGCCACCCAACAGGAAGGTGGCCAGCTGCTGTAGGAATGTGGCCAGCTGTTGCAAGAGGATGACCAACAGTTACATCTTCTTGCTACGTGATATACTAGATGGAAAATATGTGAATATTCCCTGACAGGAGTCAACATACCCGCTAGTGCCAACCGTTTGTTTATACAATCAGCTGTGCACAAAAGAGTAATATTAGATGAAAATCAGATTTTCCTGTACACATCAAAAGACCTGAGAAGTACAATTTCGTTAATTGCCTCCTGGTAACGCTTCGATGGTTATCTTGCTTAGATAACACATCTCGCTTAGATAACCTTCAGATAAGAGACCTGGTGGGATGGGAATGGACAGGTGCCAATATTCAATCAACATTGTGTCAAGCAGTTATCGTGTTAACAGCAATGTGGCTGATTATGCTTACAGTTCCATAGTAAGTATTGTAACGATTGGGATTACTTCTAAAATTATCTTTTATCTAATTATAAAAATAAGTTATTTTTTTAATTATCCAGTATTTTTCTTGTACAGTTGCGCACCTCACTACACACTATATCATCTCACTCCCACTACACACCATGTCCTCGCCCTCCCACACCATACACGCCCTTACACACAAAATCACTTATTTATTTTATTTATTTATTTATTTACAAGAAGGTACAATGGGTTTGAGGGAGTACATAACATTGTTGATCTTACATTCTTACAAAGCCACTAACACCTATAGCGTTACGAGCAGACCTTCTACACACAATATCTCCCCTACACACACAATATCTCCCCTACACACACAATATCTCCCCTACACACTCACAATATCACCCCTACACACTCACAATATCACCCCTACACACACAATATCTCCCCTACACACACAATATCTCCCCTACACACACAATATCTCCCCTACACACACAATATCTCCCCTACACACACACATATCTCCACACAATATCACTCCTACACACACAATATCTCCCCTACACACACAATATCTCCCCTACACACACAATATCTCCCCTACACACACAATATCTCCCCTACACACACAATATCTCCCCTACACACAATATCTCCCCTACACACAATATCACCCCTACACACACAATATCTCCCCTACACACACAATATCACCCCTACACACACAATATCTCCCCTACACACACAATATCACCCCTACACACACAATATCTCCCCTACACAGTGCCCTACTACAGTGTAGGGGCCTCGTAGCCTGGTGGATAGCGCGCAGGACTCGTAACTCTGTGGCGCGGGTTCGATTCCCGCACGAGGCAGAAACAAATGGGCAAAGTTTCTTTCACCGTAAGTGCCCCTGTTACCTAGCAGTAAATAGGTACCTGGGAGTTAGTCAGCTGTCACGGGCTGCTTCCTGGAGTGTGTGTGTGGTGTGGAAAAAAAAAGTAGTTAGTAAACAGTTGATTGACAGTTGAGAGGCGGGCCGAAAGAGCAAAGCTCAACCCCCGCAAAAACACAACTAGTAAACACAACTAGTAAACACACACACAATATCTCCCCCTACACACACAATATCTCCCCTACACACACAATATCACCCCTACACTCACAATATCACCCTTACACACTCACAATATCACCCCTACAAACACAATATCACCCCTACACTCACAATATCACCCTTACACACTCACAATATCACCCCTACAAACACAATATCACCCCTACACACTCACAATATCTCCCCTACACACAATATCATCCCTACACACACAATATCACCCCTACACACAATATCTCCCCTACACACTCACAATATCTCCCCTACACACAATATCACCCCTACACACTCACAATATCTCCCCTACACACAATATCACTCCTACACACTCACAATATCTCCCCTACACACAATATCACCCCTACACACTCACAATATCTCCCCTACACACAATATCTCCCCTACACACAATATCTCCCCTACACACAATATCACCCCTACACACTCACAATATCTCCCCTACACACAATATCTCCCCTACACACAATATCTCCCCTACACACAATATCACCCCTACACACTCACAATATCTCCCCTACACTCCCCTTTTCTCTAATTTTTTTCTTATGAAATGATAAAACACACAATATCTCCCCTACACACAATATCTCCCCTACACACAATATCTCCCCTACACACTCACAATATCTCCCCTACACACTCACAATATCTCCCCTACACACAATATCTCCCCTACACACACACAGTATCACCCCTACACACACAATATCACCCCTACACACAATATCTCCCCTACACACACACAATATCTCCCCTACACACTCACAGTATCACCCCTACACACACAATATCTCCCCTACACACAATATCTCCCCTACACACACACAATATCACCCCTACACACTCACAGTATCACCCCTACACACACAATATCACCCCTACACATACACAATATCTCCCCTACACACACTATCTCCCCTACACAGACGTCTGGCGTGATTCAGCATCTCATGCACTACCATGACCAGATTGTATTAAGCAGTGTTTGTGTGGCATAATGACGGATCCAAGAAACCCTTCACACACAAAAACACACTCAGCACCTCTCCTTAAACACACAAACACTGTACAGGCAACACATAACCCCTATACACACCATATATAACGCGGCCACAAACACTGTACAGGCAACACATAACCCCTATACACACCATATATAACGCGGCCACAAACACTGTACAGGCAACACATAACCCCTATACACACCATATATAACGCGGCCACAAACACTGTACAGGCAACACATAACCCCTATACACACCATATATAACGCGGCCACAAACACTGTACAGGCAACACATAACCCCTATACACACCATATATAACGCGGCCACAAACACTGTACAGGCAACACATAACCCCTATACACACCATATATAACGCGGCCACAAACACTGTACAGGCAACACATAACCCCTATACACACCATATATAACGCGGCCACAAACACTGTACAGGCAACACATAACCCCTATACACACCATATATAACGCGGCCACAAATAAGGTACAACCCAACAACATGTAGGGAGAGCAAAGCACCATCTCATTATTGGTCCTACAGCCCTGGCTGCATTAAGTGTGTGTCTTGCTGAAAAACAACCAGGGGGCTCAAGCGCTCACACACACACACACACACACACACACACACACACACACACACACACACACACACACACACACACACACACACATACACACACAAGGGGCCTCGTAGCCTGGTGGATAGCGCCCAGGACTCGTAATTCTGTGGCGCGGGTTCGATTCCCGCACGAGGCAGAAACAAATGGGCAAAGTTTCTTTCACCTAGCAGTAAACAGGTACCTGGGAGTTAGTCAGCTGTCACGGGCTGCTTCCTGGGGTGTGTGTGTGTGTGGTGTGGAAAAAAAAAGTAGTTAGTAAACAGGGAGCCGGTCAGCCGAGCGGACAGCACGCTGGACTTGTGATCCTGTGGTTCTGGGTTCGATCCCAGGCGCCAGCGAGAAACAATGGGCAGAGTTTCTTTCACCCTATGCCCCTGTTATCTAGCAGTAAAATAGGTACCTGGGTGTTAGT